TTCGATAATTTCCCCACTCTAGCAGGTCACCTTCTTTTTTGGAATGGGAGTAAATATGGATCTCTTCTAGTCAGTTGGCTAAGTAGTTGTCCTCCACATTTCCTGACACACTTGCTGAGCACATGCAGGGCAGCATCTGTTTGCCAAAAAATGTCAATTGGTAAATTCGAACTGCCAGGAGGCTTATTTTTCCGTTAGCTGGCAAATATTTACAGACTAAGACACCAGAGCAGATCAATAACTAACAAAAGCCTTGGCTGTTTTCTCTCTGAAAAAGTCCAGAGGAAGCAGATCTAATTCTCCTTGACCCCCCTTGGGATGCCAATGCTCTTTACAATCTTTATGCAGGAAGAGACTCCTGCTTTAATAGTCTGGAAAAGCATCCACAGACAGATGGTAGTGCATGTTTACATCTCCTGGATGACTCTGGGACAATCAGACCACTGCTTCAGGTGTGGTAGAAATCAGAAGCAGGGGACGTTAATTTTATGACATTAAAATAGTGGAGAAACTATAATGTATATATGCAGCTTGGTCACTTGGGGAACATAATCTGCTGTTTATGTTAAGAAGAAGAAAAAAAACCAATACAACTCTTCCACAGTATGTCTGTAGATCAATGTTTATTTGCCTTTCTATGTCACGTTAAGGAAAACAAACAAACCCAATTCTTCCACATTATGTCGTCGTTGTTGTTATGTGCCACCGAGTCGCTTGTGACTCATAGCGACCCTATGTACAAGAGTTCTATAGATGAATGTTTATTTGCCTTTCTAGGTCACTAGTTATAAAATAAAAATGTGAACACTAAACATTTTTATAGTAATATTATATACGAATTTGTTATTAGATTATGCCACAAGCAAAACCAAGAAAGATATCAGGCAAAGACAGTAGTTCATGGTAATATTCCTCTCCAAGCTGGTAATTTTCCAGTAGAAGACAAAGCACATGGCATAAAGATATCAGACCTCACTCACCGTGCATTTTCCAACATCTCCTTAATAAAACACATGAAAGATTCAGAATTCTGGCCCATATTCTAACACATGTCTTTAATCAAGCTCTCTAATGATTCTAAGGAATCATTGTCCTTTTTCATTAAAATCAATAAAACAGACCTAGTTTGCTATGAGCTGCCCATCGTCACTTGTCATCCAGAACACTTGTCCCAAGTCTTCACAGACTTTTTGCTAACAAGACCCTAACTTCAAAGGGGCTGCAAAGCTAATAGTAGCTAACATGACATTTCAGAGTAAGAATCTGTCATTTTCTTTCAGTATTTCCATAGGACACGTTTAGCCTTGTCTGAGGACCAGTTATGTTTATGTTGTTGTTGTTGATTGTCTTTGAGTTGAGCACAACTCATAGTGACCCAATGAACAAAAGGCCTGAAGCCTTTCTATAACTGTCATCATTTATCAACCTTCATAGAGTTTCCAGAGGCACATTGTTTAGGAAGTGGATGCCACTCAAATTCTTGGAGCACAGCCACACCTTCTATCATTCTATGTTAATGGAGGGATCAAGACCCGCTGAAATACAAGTCAGGAACCCATTTCATGACCAAGAAACACCATCCAAGGGCCTCTGCTATCTGCTCTATGTGCTGGCCTTGTCTCTCTGCTCCCAGCAGGACTGCTATGCTCACATCCATCCTACCCATTCTCATAAAGCCAGACATTTCACTCTCCTACTTATCACTTCCTACAGGGTCTGATCTTTTGGGCAGTGGTTCTAGAACATAAGGCATTTCTACAAGAATTTTAGGAGGAAGCAGAAAAGTGGGACACAGGGCTTGGTTCTTGCTCCTAATTACAAAGCCCCAGATTCATGGAAAGTAAGCCAGCATTCTTCTCCCACTCACACAAACACAAAGCAAATATTAATTGACATTGTTTCATAACTCTCCAACAGTTTCACGTAAAACCTTACATAGTGTGAAACAGTCACCTCATAAAACACTTTGCTGTTCCATTAACTCCAACTCATAGCAATTTCATGTACACAAGAGCAGAACTGTGCTCCCCATTTAAAAAAAATGTATTGGACATTCTTCTAAGATGCCTGTAAGTAGATTTGAATGACCAACCTTTTGATTGACATTCAAGGGCATTAACTATTTAAATCAACTAGGGACTCAATGCATAGGACACATGTATTCCTCCTAATTGTATTGCTTGTGTTTAGACCTGATAATCAGATATTTTAAAAAGACCAACTTCATTTCAATTATACTTCAGCTTGCAAAAGTCTCAGAAGGACAAATAATTTAGGAATATCTGGTTACTTTAAAAATTTATATTCCCTGACCAAGGTCTATAACAAATTATTGCAATATGTGGACTCTTTAATCCCTGGGAACCTCATTCTTCACTGTCTGGTTTATAACTATTTCTTGTGATAGATTATGCAATATGCAAGGTTTATCCTGACAGGCTTACTTGCGATTACTTACTAATTTGTAGTGAACAGTTTCTCATGGGTTTCTTTTTTCACTACAGATTAGTAAATCAGCACAAGAGCTAAGCTAACATTGCACTCCTATTAGTCAGAAATCTGAGCTGGTCCATAACTCTACTCAAGCAAGTTAGACTGGCTCCATGGCAGTGTCTCAAGAAACTACTTTATACCAAGCCATATACCATGACACAATTACACCACATCTGGTAGCCTGGCTCCATGGCAGGGTCTCACAACCACAGAATTCTAATCCTACTCAAACTCACAGGACAGGTAGAAACAGACTCTACTGGAAATGTAGACCAACCAGTTGGTTCATCCCACCAGTGCCTGTAAGGAAGACAGAAATCATGTCAAGGAGACATGAGAAAGTCACCATGGCCCTCGGTTTAAATGCCATCCAGCCCACTGTCCCCTGGCCAGGCCTGATGCATTCACTAGGGTACAATAAGGGCAGCGGGAAGGTCAGGGTTGCAGAGGTCACCCAAAAGCCAAGCTTAATAGCTGCCTGACAGGAGAGACCCAAGTGCCATTTTCAATTTATCACAGTCTGGAAATTTGTCCCTTGCTGCTTCTTTAGGTTGAAGATTATTGTTGTTGTTGTGCACCATCAAGTTGGATTCAACCCATAACTGATTCTCTGGTAGATTTTCAGAGGTTAATCACATGGGCAGAGAGATAGTCCATTTTTATCCAGCAGAGCAACTGGTGGATTTGAACTGCATTAGACTATGTAAATTCTAATTTAGAATTCTAGGATGGCTTTGCCAAATTTGTTTTCCCCATACGCTTTTCTTAATCATGTGAATTTATTCTTCTTAATGCTCCTCACCAGTGCACCTCCCATCTTTGCAATCATTGTGCCAACCCATCTCATCAGAGGTCTTCTTCTCTTTTGATCACTTGCTGCTTTTCCAAGCATGATGTCCTTGTCCAAGAACTGACCCTTTTTGGTAACAATGCCTAGAATATGTGAGGTGAAGTTTCACCATCCTATATCTGTGAAGCACTCTGATTTTGACTCCTTCAAAGTGCAATCAAACAGATTTGTTTGTTCTTTTGGCTGCCCACATAATACTTGGTATTCTTCACCAACACCACAATTCAAGGGTCATCTAGTCTTACTTGGTCTTGCTTATTCATTGTTCAATTATCATATGCACATGAAGTAATTGAAAATACCACAGTTTGAGTCCGGTATCTTTCTAAACTGCTGTTTCCATTGGTGTTAATTGTGCATCCAAGTAAAAATATATCTTTGACAGATTTAATCTTTATTCCATTTATCATGATATTTATTGACACAGTTGGGAGGATTTTTTTTTCAAGTCCACTTTACTAAGCAAGGTTGTTTCATCTGTATATGCTACAGGTTGTTGGTGAGTCTTCCTCCAATCTTCATATAATCTAGTTTCTTAAATTATTTGCACAGCAGAGAGAGAATTGGCCTGGTGAAAAGATTCAACCCTAACACATACCATTCCTGATTTTAAATCTTGCAGCTTCTTCTTGTTCTGTTCAAATGACTGCACAAGTAACAATTATTGTTTGTTGTTACATGTTGTCAAGCTAAGCATGATTCATAGTGATCCTAGGAATAACACTGTGTCATCCTGTACTATCCTATACTATGCCATCCTCATCTTCTTTGACATACTTGATGTCAGTCACTGGGTCAATCCATCTCATTGGAAGTCTTCCTCTCTTTTGTTGACCCTTTCCAAGCATGATGTCCCTTTGCAAGGAATGTAGTCATGCTGGTGTAATGCTGAGTCAGAATTGACCCATAGCTGACTCTCCAGCAACTTTTCAGAGCAGTTTGACCATTTTAGGAGATTTACCATTTTCTCCCACAGAGCAGCTGGTGGATTTGATCCATGGACTTTTGTGTTGGCACCTCAATTCCTTACCACTAAGCCACCAGAGCTCCCTTTCCAAGGAAGAGCTTAATGTGAGACAAAACTCCACTGTCCCTTCCTCTAAGGAACACTCTGGCTGCTCTTTCTTCAAGACATAGCTGTTTGTTCTTTTGACAGTACATGAAATATAGTCACTGTTCTCCCACACCACAACTCAGAGGCATCAATTCTTCTTCAGCCATGCTAGAATATTCATTGCTCAGCTTTGAGATGCATAGCAACTTATTGAAAAGACAATAGCCTGAATCAGACACACCTTAGTTTTTAAACACACCATTGCTCCTCACTTATGTGGAGAGGTCCCTGACAGCAGTCTTTCCCAATGCACTAAGTCTCTCTTCTGAACTGACTGCTTATAGAAGAGTGTTGATTGTGGATCCAAGTAAGATGAACTCATTGACAATTTCAGTCTTGACTGCAACAGATCAATACAGTGTAAACTTAGGTGGGAAACCCGAAAATTCAGGGGACGAACTTTTTCGTGGTGGTCTGGAGCCAAACCCTACACATGCTGTACTGAGCTCACTTAGTCCAAGCCCTTTAAGGGAATAGCATCATAAAACCAAAACAAAAACACAACCCAAAACTAAAAACCACAATATTTCTTTTTCTTTAAAGGGCACTTTCCAAGGATGCAGAAGGAAATGAAGATGATCAAAGACGAGGATGTGCATTTCAGTTTGGGTGTGAAGAGGCCCCCTTCGTTCCTCCACTGCCTGCAGACGGTGGCTTCGCGAGGGAAAGCCCCCCAAAGACACTCGTTCCCTGAGGCTCTCCAAGGGCCTTTTCCTCAGTTTCGCTATGAACCGTCTCCGGAAGACCTAGACGGTTTCTCCGGTGTCTTCGAAGGAGGAGGCTCTCGGAAACGCAAGAGTGTGCCCACCAAGATGCCCTGTAGCCACCCAGCCGAAGAAGCGCCACTTGCCCTCCAGTCCCAGGAGAACAAGAGCCATGGGCCTCCCAGCCTCCCGCTGCTGTTCCCGCCACCCTCGCGCCCCAAGTATGACTCCCAGATGATCGACCTGTGCAACGTGGGCTTGCAGTTCTGCCGCACCCTCGAGCACCTGGGGGGCAAGACCATCAAGCAGGAGCCGGTCAAGCCCAGCGCCGTGTGGGCCCAGCCCGTGGCCCCTCCATTCCTGCCTTCTCCCTACCCCTACTACCCCAAAGTCCACCCGGGCCTCATGTTCCCCTTCTTCATGCCCTCCTCGAGCCCCTACTCCTTCCCCTTCCTGCCCAAACAGCCCCTCGAGCCGCTGCCCCCGCGCAAAGCCGAACCCCCCGAGAGCGAGGAGGCCAAGCAGAAGGTGGAGCGGGTGGACGTGAACGTGCAGATCGACGACAGCTACTACGTGGACGTGGGCGGCGCGCAGAAGCGCTGGCAGTGCCCCACCTGCGACAAGTCTTACACCTCCAAGTATAACCTGGTCACCCACATCCTGGGCCACAGCGGCATCAAGCCGCACTCCTGCAGCCGCTGCGGGAAGCTCTTCAAGCAGCTCAGCCACCTGCACACCCACATGCTCACCCACCAGGGCACGCGGCCCCACAAGTGCCAGGTGTGCCACAAGGCCTTCACGCAGACCAGCCACCTGAAGCGCCACATGATGCAGCACAGCGAGGTGAAGCCGCACAACTGCCGCGTGTGCAGCCGTGGCTTCGCCTACCCCAGCGAGCTCAAGGCCCACGAGGCCAAGCACGCGAGCGGCCGCGAGAATATCTGCGTGGAGTGCGGCCTCGACTTCCCCACGCTGGCGCAGCTGAAGCGCCACCTCACCACGCACCGAGGCCCCATCCAGTACAACTGCTCCGAGTGCGACAAGACCTTCCAGTACCCGAGCCAGCTGCAGAACCACATGATGAAGCACAAGGACATCCGGCCCTACATCTGCTCTGAGTGCGGCATGGAGTTCGTGCAGCCCCACCACCTCAAGCAGCACTCCCTCACCCACAAGGTAAGGCGGGGATCCCCCACCTGGGGCGGGGACAGGGGCGGGCTGGGCGTGGGGACAGGGAGTGCACGGAGCCCTGAGCAGGAGGAGCCTGGAGACCTGAGCTCTTTGGTGGACAGAGCTGTGCAACCCAGACAGGAGACTTCTCTAAGTGCCCGTCCGCCGATCAACGGGAGAGATGGAGAAATTATTTAAGACCTTTGCCTACCAAAGAGCCCCTCACTCACTCAGTACCCTGAACTTGATACCAACATAATAGTTGATAGCTCCCTTCCCCTTGGTTTCAAGGCTGTAAACCTTGAATGGAGGAGACCTCTCATCTTTCTCCCAACGACCCTCTGTTGCTTCCCAGCAGCTGGAGGCATGCAGTCTTTCGGTTAGCAGCTGTGCCTCAGGCCTCCAGTGCTCTGGTGCAGCCAAGTCCCGTCAGAGGCCTGATACTTGCAAAAATTCAGCCATTGGAAACCACGTGGAGCCCATTTCTCTGATACACAAGGAGTGACCAGAAGTCAGAATCTTCCCCAGGGTGACTGGCTCTCTAACCGAGTTTTCTAAAGTCTGAGGTTCACTCGTGAACTAATCACCCGGAAGTAAACAGTACAGACATTTTGGAAATGTGTGAAGGGAAAAAAGCTGATAGTTGTGTGATTGTTTCCCAACCCCTTAGCATTCCTATAATGCTGTTTCTGGAAACTTCATCCAGGAAATTACCATTTATAAAAAAAACCCAAAAAACAACTTTCCCTACTGGAAAATGTGTTACCAGACCCTCCAGACTGAGACCAGTTAGTTCTGTTTGTAGTGACACCAGCCAGAACCTCTTCTAGAGAATTCTCCTGATAATTTTGCTGCCAAAGAGCCAGTGGCTGCCTTTGGTCTGTTTTCTGGTTTAGGCTTGTGAGATCTGTTCATCGTGGGTGGCCTGGAGGGAGGAGATGCTCCCCGCCCCTATGACCCCAGTGTATACCTGGGCCTCATGTTCCTCTTAATGCCCTCAGTCCCGAGGCCAGCGATGCCCTCTGCTCCCTGAGTTGAGCCTGGCCGGGTGTAGTGTCCTGAGATTTTTGTTGTAAGAGGCCTCTTTGCCTCTGCTTTCTCTTCTCTGAGCTCAGGTCTTCCAGGAGAAATGTAAGCCCAAGGGCCTCAGTTAGACCTTGTTTAGAACTGAATCCCCAGTGTCTTTCCGGCTGAAACAAGGCCCTAATGTTGTTCCTGAAATACGACCTCCCTGGGTCTGCTTTAAGCTTCGAGAGGGGAGTTTTGCCCTCTTCACCTTGACACTCTTACCTTGACAACAGATGATTTCCTTGGCTAGCAGGGACTAGGAGCAAGCCAGAGTTTCTGAAGCCATCTTTAATTCTGAAAGGTCAGTGGAGGACACTGTCCAGCCGAGATAACATTTCTGCTGTGTGATAATGGGTTTCATTTGTTAGGTTAGGCCAAAGTTCAGGACATTTTCTGGTGCTACAGCAGAGGAGTAATATGTGGCTGCCTTGTGGGATCCACACAGATAGCTCCTGCCTTGTATTTACAAAGGGTTCCTGAATGTGCCATCCTGCAACAGTAACCCTGCCAAGGCCAGAAATGGTAACAAAGACCATAGTCTGAGATGCTGCCACAGGGGCTAAAAGCTGTTTCAGGGACTCCTGCATATGTTGAAAGGGGATCAAATTTGCATTTTAAAACATATAAACAAAGGAAAACCCTTGATAAGGTGGATTGACTCGGTGACTTGGGTAATGGGAATAGATGTATCAGAGACAGTAAGGTTGGCACAGCATAGAGCAGGGTTCAGAGCTGTTGTCCATAGAGTCGCTATGAGTCCTAAGTGACTGAATGGCACACAACAACAACAACAACATAAGATAGTCCTTTCTCATTGTTAGATGAGTAGCTACCGACTCATAACTGACCCACCATTGGGTTTCTGAGGCTGTAAGTTGCACAGGAAGAGTACTCGTCTTTCTGCCATGAAGCCGCTAGTGGATTTGAAGTTCCAGAAAGGCGAGACCTCTGGGATTAGCAGCACAACTCCCAACTGATTATGCCATCAGAGCTCCCTATTAAGATTGCAATAAATGAAATAAAAACGAAAGACTTGGCTTGACATCTGAAATGAATTCTATTTTCATTAGGAAACAAAATACATTTTAATTAAAGGTGCTAGTAAATAGAGGGAAATAGCATCAGTGGAGAGGTAATTTTTATTAGAGTCCCTGGGTAGCACAAGTGATTAAGTGCTTTGCTACTAACCGAGAGGACCGCAGTTCAAGACCACAGAGAGATGTCTGGGGGGAAAAGTCTGGTAAACTATTTCCCAAAGTCTAGCCACTGATAATCCTGTGGAGCGCACATGGGTGTGCTTAGAGTCCGAATCTACTCACTGGTAACTCCGTATGTATCAGGTGCTTACTATCTCATTTAGTCTTCTGAATGATTACTACACCTATTATTATAACCACCTGTAGATGGGAACACGGGGCATGGGGAGGTTGCCTAGAACTCTCTGACTCCTGTGCTTAAGCTCTTGAACACTCCACCATAAAGGTGGTCCTCTCTTCCAGCTTCCCCTCCCATCATTACTCTCTGCTCTCAGCTTCCTTCCAAGCCCTTGAAAACCCCCACATCCTCCCTGTCTATGCTTTGATTGGTCCTGTTTGAGATTATTCCTTTGCTCCCTAAAAAATGTCTTCAGGCTGACATTAACTTGCATTCTAAGCCAGCCTCCACGTGAATTTTACTGTGGCTCACAATTCTCATTAGAGAATCCTGAAACCAGTGATAAGTAAGAAAGAGAAGTAGTGCTAAGTAGATCCTAGGACATCTGGGTCAGAGTGCCCCGCAGAGAAAATCTTGAGAGAAGAAAAAGGCTAAAATAAATTTTTATGGCTGTAATAAAAGATTTTTTCATCCTTTTAAGCTCACTATTTGAATATTATACATTTCAAAAACTTTATCTCAGGCTATTGTTAACATTTCATTGTAAGAGTTCTTCAGTAGCATAAATCCATACTTATCTACAATAATTTCTATAGAAAGTGCCAGGACTGGGAAGAATCTCCACTTCACTGTGAAGGGAGGAAAGCCACACTAGGAAAGGCCATGTGATTTGTCTCAAGTTACCATGTAGGCAGAAAATGGTTAGGAGACTTGAACCTGCTGTTCCAGGCCTTGAATTCACCAGCACTGATTGGCTGACTATGCACCAAATCAAAGAAAGGAAATGTAGGTGGAGAGAAGCAGAGGTGAGCTTCAGACCCCTTGCTTGGACCACTACAGACACCAGGTGACACAACTGTATAATATATTTAATGCCAAAGTTATCTAAGTTTTCATCCTAGAAGTCTTTCCAGATCCAGATCTCTTGCAAAGGTCTTTTCTGGGAAGCAATAGTCAGGATTCACTAAGAGAGCAAGCAGCAGAGCATTCCACTCCAATCTCTGGAAGTCCTCTCAGTGGAAAGCAGTGTGGAGAACACTGACATTTAAGCACTCAAACCCTTCTTCACCAAGCACTGTCTAGTTTAGAAAGCTGTCTCCTGTCAAATTCCTCTACAAGACCAAAGCCAGGCTGGGGAAGGTGGGCAGACTCCCTAGCCATGCCACACCAAGGTTACTGTGGCCAAAGTTTGTGGGAACCAGAGTTAGGAGGCCAACTTGATAATGTGATTAACAAGTTGTGATTTATTAAAATGTGGATATGAGCTGGTATTTTGAAGATTTTAAGATGCATTAGTGAGGAAGACCCCGGATGAGATGGATTGATACAATAGCTGGGGCAATGGGGATTGGTGTGTTGGAGTCCGTGAGACTGCCTCAGGACAGGACAAGTGCCGTTTAACTCATAATGGCTCCAACCCTGGAAAATCTTTAATAAAAGACCAAAGACTAGTAAGCTCCAGAGTAAAACCTGAGTATAGGACAGGACAAGTTTCAGTGCTGCTGTACATAAGGTCACAGGTAACTTGACACCACATAACAACATAACAACAACATTGAGAACGTCAATATATGTTGGCCTTCCAATAGGAAGTGATAGCATCCATTTGTTGTTCTTCTTGTTGTGTACTGTTGAGTCAGAACCAACTCATAGCTGACCTTCCAGCAGGTGTTCAGAGGCAGTTAATCGCATGGGAAGAGATTGACCATCCTTCTCTGGCTGAGCAGCTGGTGGCCTCAAACTGCGGAGACTCTGGGGATTGCAGCACAATTTCTTGTCACTAGGCCACCAGAGCTCCCTACCATCCATTTAGAAAGCTTTCTTTTTCATTGTCATAAAAGCTGGATAATAGACTCATTCTGCACGTCCTGCTTCAGTGTCCTCATCAAAATCCTAGTAATCTTCAAGAACTCTGACTGCAGCATTAACCCCAGAAGCAGCGAGATCAACAGAGAAAAACCAAGGACTGGGAGCATGATGTAAGCGTGTCGCAGGCTAACCATGGTTTTCTGGAATCTTGACTCCCTCCAGGGTGTGAAGGAGCATAAGTGTGGCATTTGTGGACGGGAGTTCACCCTGCTGGCCAATATGAAGAGACACGTGCTGATCCACACCAACATCCGTGCCTACCAGTGCCACCTCTGCTACAAGAGTTTCGTGCAGAAGCAGACCCTTAAGGCACACATGATTGTGCACTCTGATGTGAAGCCTTTTAAATGCAAGGTGAGTAGTCTGCCAGGGCAACCTTGGGAACGAAAGGGTCACACAAGGTTGTGTAAATGGTTAAAAGGAAAGACCCCCAGAGAACGTCCTGCTCCCTTTCTCCAGTGGGCAGTGAGTCCAACCATGAGTAACATCTACTGCTCTGACCCTATCTATCCCACCTCTGCTCTCATTGGTCCTTGAGAAGTCAGCTCTCTGTGTCTCACTGTGCATTCAATATGCAGAGCAAGTCTATTAGAGAGATGCAGAGGATCGGCTGATTGGGGACAGAGCTGAAAAATATAGGAGAAGTGTAAGGGCTGAAAGGTCCACGTGGAAATGTTTCCCAAGGAAAATGGCCATATGGAGAGCCTCTGGTTTAGAATGGAAAATTCAGGTGTAGGATTCTTCTCTTTACAAGTCAGTAAGGAGTGAGAGAAACTCCCAGCACTGCCTCTTCTTCTTCCCAACTCCACTTTTCCTCCTCATTTCTCAAAACTTGGGTTGAGTGGCACAAATCTGGGGATGGAATCCCGGGGGTCATTAGACCATGGTGAATAAGGCCATGCATGGTCCATCAGGCCACAGGGTTTGAGCGTCTTTATTAAAATATACATGTGAGATGAAGTGGGATGAATTTTTATTTCATCATCTGAGATAATGTAGAAGTTTGAGGTGTAAAATTCAAGGCACTGATGCATTTCCCAGAAAGTCAGACTTCCAAGGCTTCCCTTCGCCATTTTTAAAATTAGAATCGTGCTCAGGCTTGAGTAGCTTCATTCAAGGAGTGTGTGGGCAAGGGTCATCCTGGGTGTGAATAGAGGGCTGAGAGAAAAAAAGAGGGAAATCACTATGTTTCAACAGTGGGAGTTTCTCTTTTCTCTACTACCTCTGTATCTGAGGGGGCCCAAGCCATGTTCTCTGTTAATCCTTTATTTTCAAAGTGAGGTGCACTCTCTTCAAGGGCTGATTCCTGAATGAATCCCTCTGCAGCTTACTCCTCGATTCAAGGAACCCCCTGTGAGGAGACATTTTTCCTGTGCTGGCCACTCCTGGGATGGGGTGAGAGGGGTCAGGAACCAGAGCTTCCCCAGATCTGTGTGGGCATTCTCCAGAGAGAGAGGAGGGAGGTTTCTCCTCCAATCCTTTTCCTGCCACCTACTTGTGTTTCCCCTCCTTTCTTTCAAATTCCAAATGGTTTGGAAGTCAAATTTATGTCCATCATGAGTCATCAAAGCTCAGGGCAGAGGAAACAGCAAGTGGGATTAGTTGCAGGATTAATTTGTAGGACTCAGTGTAAAATGAAAATTCAAGACCCTTTGTTCATTGTTAAGAATTTCAAGATGGTGAGCACAGAGCTTTACATTAAGCATGGGGCCCTTCTGAGTTCAGGGCCTGTTTGACCTCACAAGCTATGCACTTACGAAGCCAGCCTGGGTGTAGAAGCCAAAGAATTCCACAGACCACTTTTGTTTCTCTCTTTCAGCATTTCTTTTCTTTCCTTCCCTCTCCAGTGAAGCCCCAAGTCCCTTCCATTTAGCAGAGCTGTCCTCTCCTGTCAGGGGTCAACTGTCTTCTGAAATGGAGGTGCAAATAGGCCCCTTTTGTTCATTCCTTGCATTGAGTTTACTCTTGAGCTTTGAACCTGAACTGTATTATTTTTTTTCTATAATTATATTTTATTAATTTTCATAAACATTTACAGAGATTTTGGGCTTCCACTCATTCATTGTTGCACTATTCTCTCTACCCTCCTCCCAGTTTGTTCTTGTCCAAATGCCACAGTGCTTGTCAAAGCCAGTTCTGATTAATCTTCTTTGTCAGTGTATCCTTTGCCATTCCCTATCACTCCTCCCTGAGAGAGACTTCACCCTGAGTCATAAGGAAAAGGGGACGGCGTATTCTCTTAGCTACTTCCTGCTGAAAAGGGACGCTGTGGGTTTCAGGGTGAAGATCTTCTCTCACTACTCTAAAGGGCCCCTTTGGCAGTAGGAAACACATAGACTATTATGGAGATTGATTTTGGAATTCAGATGCACTCTTATTGATTGTGCTTGGCTGTACATGTACATATCCTTGAAGATGTATCATGGGGGTGTTGCAACCTAGAAGACACAAATTTGACTAACAAGTTATAAGTACATGAGTCCAAAAATTATGGAAAAGTAAAAGAAAAGATTCTTTCATTGTTTTACAAACCCTCCCCCAGGTCCCCTCCACCATGCAGCCCTCGCTCTAGTCTCCTGTGATGACAGAAATACCCAGTTACATCTCTCTTTTAGATGGTTCTCTCCCTCCTCTGCTTCAGTGCAGTATACATTATTGAACCCATCTTACTCAGTGTCTCCCTAACCCCAAGGACAGTCCCATTCTACAACAGTGGCATCATGTAATATTTGTCCTTTTGTGACTGGGGTATTTCACTCAGCATAATGTTCTCCAGAGTCAACCATTTTGAATAATATTGCATGAGTTCCTTGTTTTTTAATGCAGCATAGTATTCCATTGTGCGAATATACCACAGCTTCTCTAGCCATTCGTTTGTTGATGGGCACTTAGGTTGTTTCCAACTCCTTGCTATTGTGAACAAAGCTGCAATGAACATGGGTGTGCATATATCTGCTTGGATGTCAGCTATGGTCTCTTCAGGGTATATTCCCAGTAGTGGAATTGCTGGGTCAAATGGTATCTCTATTTGCAACTTTTTGAGAAAGCGCCATACTGAACTGTATTATTTTTAAAAATCTTATCCACTGGTAGTGGAGAATATAAAGCTGTTGCATATGGAGGAGTCTTTGGTACAGTTCTATTGCTGTTCATTGCTGTCAGATCAGCTGCAACTCCTAGCAACTTTATGCATAACAGAATGAAGTATTCCATGGTCCTACACCATCCTCCCAGTCAGTGGTATGTTTGGATCTATCGTGGCAATTGTGCTGACCCACCTCACTGAGAACTTTACTTATTTTTGCTGACACTGTATTTTACCAAAAACGTTTCATAAAAATCCACACCTGACCAATCCAGCCCTCTCTCACCTTCACCTCATCCATTTGTATCCAGCAATAATAGTAGTATCATCAAGCAATAGTACTAGTATCATCAGAAGGAATGTTTCCCTGCAAATGGATAGACTGTGGTAAGGGGAAAGTATCAGGAATGGACTTGGGAGGATGTATGTGATTTGGATGAGACAGAATCAGTTCTGCTTCTCTATCTTCATGAGATTCAGGAAGGCCTGGGGTATTTCTTGGATCAGGTGGTCTCTGAAGGTCTAGAGGAGTCTGTCTACAACCAGTGTACAGAAAGCTACTCAGTGCCGTGCAGCGTGGATGCAGTGATGCAGTGAGCTGCCTATCATAATGTTCCAGGTCTTCCCTCAGGGAAGACTGTCTCTTCCTCCCCCATTCTCAGTGAAGGTACAACATACATAGAACAGAAAAACGTTTGCTTTAAATTTACAGTCAGTTTTAATCAGCCTTGTCTTGTTGACAATGAATAGGTCCTGGGTGTCAAGCCTACACCATCAGGTACCATAAGAGAGTGGTTTAGACATTGTAATGTCAGCTTTGGAAACAAAGCACAGTTCACACTCTACAATGGGAGAAGAGAAACGAGGCTGGTCATCTGTACAGGTCACTTCCCCAGGTAGGTAGATCCTCTCAGTAGATCTCAGGTCAGAATCAGAAGGTTCCCTGGAAATTATATCACTCTCCATTGGAACAAAAATAATTGGACTTTAAATAAAGAAATTTTTGTCAAACTTAGGTGGCAAATCTCCATCCTTAGACATTTCTGAAACAAGAACTGATGTCAGTCATTTTGATCCGAAGCCACCTTTTTCTATGAAAATGTCAGAAATATACTTCCAGCTTCTTCCCACTCCTGTCTCCCTGCAAAGGGTCATCCTTCTTTGTTTCTTTGTTTCAACAGATGTCCAAAGTCTGAGTTTAGTTGCTATGCCATGAAACTCTTTATTTTTAGACTATCACCGGATACCCTTGTGGAATAGGTTAGAGATGTACTTGTGGATCAAGTCTACTGACACTGGATGGAGATTAAAGGGGAGTTGGAAGAGAAAAGGAGAACTGCTTGCTAAATATATTTTAGGACTGGGAAAAGTGAAGCTAGGATGTCCCTTATAAGTGAAGAGGATAAGACTTCATCCTGCACACTTTGTTGTTGTTGTTAAGTGTTATTGGATTGGAAATGACTCATAGCTGAGCCTTCAGCAGATTTTCAGAGATTGCAAATTGCACAAGAGGAGACTTCCCATCATTTTCCCCTTGAAACAGCTGGTAGAGTCAAACTACACTGCCTTTCGGTTGGCAGTGCAACTCCTCACCATTAGGCCACCAGAACTCTGGGCATGTTATTATTAGGAACAGTCAGTCACTGGACAAAGACATCCTGATTGGTTAAGTAGAAAGTCAGCACAAAAGAAGCAGACCTTCAACAAGATGAATTAATGTAATGGATACAGTGAGAACAAGTGTGGGTCCATGTACAGCAGTAATTGTAAGGATGTTGCAATGTTTCATTCCTTTGTATATGAACAGTTGCTATGACTTGGAACCAACTTGACAGGATGTAACAACATGTGATTATTGTCCTTGGATGGTTCAAATGGTTAGTATACCCTGCTGCTAACCAAAAGCTTGAAGATCCAGGTCTACCCAAAGACACGTAGGAAAAAAAGACCTGGCAGTCTACTTATGAAAAAACATTATATAAAAACCTTGTGAAAGTACAGCTTTGTTCTAAAGCACCATGAGCTGTAAACTATTAAATGAACACTGGTTTCCTTAGTAATTCATGACTGTGTGATAAATGACTAACTGGTTGTGGTGAGATACTGAGGAATTAGCCCAGACAACTAAACCCTTGCTTTATGGTGATAACAGACAAGAACTTTTGATGTCACATGATTGACATGACTGGAAGAGAGAGGTCAGCCTTGCTCCAGTCACACTCAACTTGCTCCAGTTCTTGCTAAGAAAAACCCAAATTTTTCTTAACAA